GGAAAGCATTTTACCTCTTCATGTTTGCCTTTACTGAGTACCAAAAGCATGCTGGCTACACGAAATAACGCACTTCATTTTGAAGTGTTTAATAACTAGATATGTTCTGTCTTCTTGGAATTCCCTCACTTCACCCTCTGCTTCCCTGGCTCCTTCTTATCCAGAAGTCTTGGTTTAAATATCATTTGCTTAAAAGGACCTTTCCTGAGACCGCAGCTGAAATAAGGTTCCTTTAGAAAACTCTGCTTCTTGCAGTTTGTAATTAGCTAGCTATTTACATGACTGTTTAATGTCTCTATCCCACATTACACTGAGTTCTGGGGGAGGTCAGTGGCTGAGTATCATTTGGTCATGCTGTGTTAACTCCAGTGTCTCTCATAGCAGTCTGGTAAGTACTAAGTACTCAGTATTTATTGAATGAAAATGCTGCTGTTAGAACTTCTCCTAATTAGAGATTTGTTAAAGTGGGAGGTAATGTATGTATAGTGTGGAGGTGAAGGAGAAGAAGAAGGTAGATCAACTTGTGACTTATCGCAAAGTAACTTTTAAGTCAGTCCCTATCCTCTAGAGGCTTTGTGTCACCTTGTGTGCAATAATAGGGAAGATTGGGCCAAGCACTCCTTTAATACCCTATGTTTTGATTCCCTTTAATAATGATGCCAGATATGTAAGCTCATGTGAATGGGTTATGTGACAGCTGACTCCCTCAAAGAAGATTTGAGATATTCCAAATAAACATATCAGAAATGCATATGAACTACACAATAGTATCATTATTCAGAGCTTCTTTAATAGCTGTTAGAAAAATAATCAATATATAATTTATAAATTAAGAGATACTATTTCAGTGTTCTAATTGAAGCATAAAGACAGAAAATTAAAACATACCAAGTTCCATGTGAGTTGAAGTTATTAGATTTCTTTTGATATTTGCTCTTAATACTTTGTACCCTATCTCTTATTGCATCTTGCATAGTAAATCAAGACCCTACATATTGTACAAAAGTGTCCATATACAAACAAGGAAAGGGGAGACAAATGGCTAAGTGAGCAGAAATGAGTATTACCATCCCTTAGTTTCTTTTGTTTGTGTTTATTTTGAAACTCTAAAAAATTATTTTTACACAAAGTTGTAACATATTCAAGGGGTCTTCAAAAAGTTCATGTAAAATATGTAATGAAAAATTGAATCTCAATTTTTTTGGGGGGTACCCAAATAAACATGTACCTTAATTCCATTTTTCTGTGAACCTTTTGAAGTCCCCTCACATAGTTTATTATGAAATGTTGTTAGTTTTGATAAATGAGTCATATTATAGATAGTTATTATTTGTCAAATGTGATAAAAGAGAAATTTAATAGGAAAATGATCAAAATAAATTATTTAACAGCAGAATCATTATTTTGAAGTAGCTAACTTGAATACTGTTTTGTTCATAGATATTTTACAACTTTATAGTGATCATTTTTAAGGGTGTTGCTTTTTTTTTTTTTTCATTCTGATATGATAACACATTTATGTGCTTGAGAAGGAGGTAGAAAGAGAAGTAGCCTTGAGAAGGTCTTGTCACGCTGCTGTCCCCTTCCTCCAGCCCTCCAGCTCATCAAGACCTTGGGCATACATACTCTCACCTTGCGTATTTCAGGTCAGCTGGGCTGGGGATACAAACCCATGGTCAGCCATGTGGCTTCCAGCACCACAGTGCAGTAAGTACCAGATGTGCCACAAGGCTGGTCATGTTCACTTTTTCAAAGCTACTCAAGTCGAATATGTTATGGAGCACACTATCTCATGAGGCAACCTGTTCCGTTGTAGGTTGTTGGATGTAGAAAGAACATGGGCTTTAGAATCAGGGAAATTTAGTTTGAATCTCAGTTCTATCAGCTACTAGCTGTGTTGATATGGGCAAGCAACAATTCTGAAATTCTGATTCCTTTTCTGTAAAGTGGAGTTAAACAAATCTAGGCTTGTTGAAAGGATTTAATGAAGGTATCATATCTCAATTGCTATGTTTAGCATGAAATAGAGGCTTAGTTTTTAACTCCTTCATCTATTAATAATTAGATGAAAATTGCTAAACTTTGAGCACTTACTGTAAGCTAAGTACTTCACATGCAGCAGCTGAATCCTTAAAATCTATGACATAAGTCAGTAGTACCTTTGTTTGTCTTCTGCGCTCTGCAGTGATACTGAGTCCAGTCCTATTACTACATCTTCAAATATTTAGAGACCACTTACCCTGTTTGGTTTTGTTAAGCATGTATTTGTCTCATGACTTTCTTTTCACCTTGCTCGAATCCATGCCTTTTTTTTTTTTTTAAATCAATCAATACAGCTCTAGATATCTGGATCATATAAACAAACATAATGGTGGGCTGACCTGCAGTGAGTATACAGATTGAGGCTGGTGCATGCTCATTGTCCTGGGGGTGTAGGTTTGAGGGAGGTGTTTTAGTCCTCCATTATATTAGTAGCTCTTTATTGGCTCATCGGGAAAGTCATAACACTTCTGCATAGAAAAACATAGAAAAATACATCATGACTGTTCTGACAGCCCAGTAAGATCTTGGGTAGGGAACCCCTTCTCTTGAACAGCTTCCAAGTCAGGATTTTTCCATTCTGTATTGCACATTTGGTTTTTCAAAACCAAATTCAAAGCTTTACATTTTTTAGACTTCACTTTAATTTTAGTTTACTTACCCCAGGTATGTTCAGCCTAAGGATTTTATGTCTTCTCTGTCTTTGCTATCTCATAAATAATGGAAAATAATATAGAGCTATGGACAAGAGTTCAAAGA